AGACAGATAGATAGATAGATAGATAGATAGATAGATAGATAGATAGATAGATAGATAGATAGATAGATAGATAGATAGATAGGTGTGTTGGAATATACAACAATGCAATGTGTAAGGTCTCTTGTTAAAATATGTGCATCATATAGAGTAGTGTGCAAAAGCATGAGCAGCTCTTCTCTGCCTCTTACTGGCTGGTTGTATTCTCTGTTTGCTCATGGTTCATACACTTATTTGATTTGGATCCCATTTCCCCTGATACATAGCAGCAGAGGATATAACACCACCTGACAATCTACAGTCATACTGACTGCATTCTACTCTACATGGTGCAAAACTGATTGTTTTTAACAAACAAATTGGTTTACTTACTTCTCATATTGCAGTAGTGGTGTTAATACAAATAATGCATACATTCTTACGTGAGCTGCCATTAGAACATGCTTAGTCAAATTATTTAAAATGCACAACCTTTAGTTTATGTGCTTGTACAAGTTTTTGGTACTGTATTTTTGAAAAAGTAATCAAAAATGTCTCATTCTTGAAATGTGGTGTTTCTTGTTTTCTGTTACCTAATCATAAGTGCATCTAATCTAGTGCTTTCTCCAACCCTGCTCACAGGATAATAATCATGAATAGACACAAAGTTTGCTTTTTAAGGAAGTAAAACACATTTGCACACCTACTGGACTCAATCCAACAGGACTTATTTAGTCACAATATGATTTCTAAATTAATTACTCTGCATTTTACATAGTACCACTAATTAGCATCTTACTGAAAAAATAATACTGGACAGAACCATGACCGTCAGTTACTGAGTCAAACTTAATTATTTTCTTTATAACTTTTATAATTATGATGTAATACTACCTCTGACCATAACTACGAACTACTGTACAAGTAAAAAACACCTGGAAACACCTGAGTGAAAAATGTAGTGATATTTTGATGGCTCATTCAGGAACTGTTGGTGTGTTTTTAGAAACAGGAGATGTGCTGGCACTTCAATAATTAATCTGCAGACTGTGCAGGGAAGGCAGGAACAGATGGTGGCATTTTCAATTTAAGTCCAGTCACAAGAGACTATACTTTTAATAGAATCTACAAAAATATTCAAAGTGCAACGATGAAGGTGTTTGACTTGTTTTGTTAGGTTTGGCTCCAGAGAATATACCAGTAATGACAGTGTAATCTCTCACAAAACACAGTGGTGATAAAGAACAAACACAGCTGCTATTGATTTGGTTTGGATTTTATTTATTATTGTTTTAGAGTTCTGCTGGTGCCATCGCTGAGCCTCGTAGATCTCCTGTGGCTCTGCTATGTTTGAGGTTCTATCTAAACCGTTATGACAGGCTGCTCGTAACAAAGTGCAATTTAAAATGGGTTCTTTGCCAAGTTAGCCGTTATGTGTCAATACAAAGGTTTTAGGTTGAAGTTAGGTAGTGTAACAACAATAATTTTTAAATGTTATATATAATTAATTATAGAAACTCACTTAAACATTTAGAAAACTTGGAAAACTAATGCACAAGGTTATTTAAAAAAAAATACAAGTGCTTCTATCATTAGGGGAGCAAAATTTTTAAAAAGGGTGGAATGGTTTAAGACTTTTGCACAGTAGTGTTTTAACCTCATAAGAGCTATGCTAACCTCATAATGTGGCATCTTTTTAGTTGGCTTATATTACTCTTACTACTTATCTCTGTAAAACTTTCTATAAATGTGTTCTGCTTTTGATGCATCAAACATGAAATGCTTTTGATTGCTCTAATGTTGTAACCCTTACAAATCCTGTTTTAAACTGAAATGTGCAACTTTACAATTAAGACATTCTGCCCAACTATAAACTTTTAATATGTTCCTTCATTTACATTCCCAGTTTTTCTTTTATGCCTGAGAACTGTGGTATGACTTTTAGTGTTGACTGAAAAAAAGCCACAGGATGAAAACGGAACCAAATTAAATGAAAAACAAAAAAGATAAACACAAGCTGCTCTTTACCGTTTTTGGTAAGCAGGGCAGGAGGAGAGGGGCGGGGCTGGTGCGTGACGTCATCAACGTGCTGCGCAAACCCGGAAGCATACGAAGATGTTCGAAGTTGGCGTCGTTTGTAAAAACTAAGTGATATAAAAGTACAAATTCGCCGCACTACGTCCCACCATATTGTGTGCGACACACTGAAGATGAGTGACAGTGAAAAACAGAAGGTAAGGAAGCAGCAAAGAGCCGCTCGGCGGATTTTTATACTTTTTTTTTTTCTGCAAGCATAACTGTCATCCTGGCTAGGAGCCGTTAAATACATTACAGCTTAACTATTCTGGGGTTTATTTGGTTCAAATCAATGTGTAGCCACTAGCCATATCCGCTTTTGCTGTTTTGTGCGTGCTCCCGAGACAATACTCACCTTTTCTTCTAAATTCAGGACCCTGCAGCTCTGAAGGAGGAAGGGAACATCCTCTTCAAAACGGGAGACCTGCAAGGAGCTGTCTGCTGCTACACCAAAGCACTAAAACTGACTGATAACCAAGCTGACAGTGCTGTTCTGTATCGTAACCGCTCCGCCTGTTACCTGAAGCTGGAGGAGAACAGCAAAGCAGAGGCTGATGCATCCAAAGGTCAGACAGTTCCCTCTGATTAATATCATTCACAAGTTCAGAAGGCCATATTGACAATGCACCTTTCACCGTTCTCTAGTTTGTCAAGGATTTTAACCTCACTGAAAACTGCTGATTTTGTTCGGTTGCCACAAAGCATTGTAAAACATTGAAAAAAATAATAATAAGTAACACCAAGCAGTTCTTCATAATTATTAGGAAGGCACTACAGACCAGATGGATAAAAAGAAAAACATTCCAGCAGAAGTAGCAAAAATGAAGCTCATATCACAAATGTTCAGGACTTAGGGTTGAAGAAAACGGAGAGTGTGTTAAAGAGGTGAAAGAGTTCAGGCAGGATGGAGTGGATGGAGAAAAGTTTCCAGAGTGATTTGCGGCAAAAAGATGGCAGAAAAGGTCAAAGGAAAAGTTGACGAGACAATGGTGAGACTAGTTATGCTGAAGGGTTTGCAGTCATATTGACAAAAAAAAAAACAGGAGAAAGAACTGGAATTGGAGAGCTGAAGATGTAGAGGTTCTTCTAGGGAGTGACAAGGATGGATAAGATTAGAAATGAGATCATCAGAGGTCCAGCACAGGTTGAACACCTGGGAGACTCTATAACAGCTGCTGCTGTTAGAGAGGCCAGACTGAGAAGGTTTAGACAAGTCCATAAGGAGGGACAGTGGGAATACTGGTAGAAGGATGTTAGAAATGCAGCAAAAAAAGGCAAAGAGGTTATATTTGGTTACAGTTAGTGAAAACATGGAGGTAGTTGGAGGGAAGACAGAGTGAGATGGAGGAAGACTTGCTATGGTGAACTCAAAAGAAGGGAGCAGCCGAAAGAAACTTACTAGTTTCTGTAACAGAAAACCTTTAAATGAAGACAATGGAAGCCTTGACTGGTTGAGAATTTGATGTTCACAACTGTCTCCATTTTTTCAGCGCTCGACGCTGACCCGGGTGACGTGAAAGCTAGGTTTCGAAGGGCTCAGGCTTTTCAGAAGCTTGGTCAGTTTGACCAGGCTTTTCTGGATGCTCAGAGATGTGCCCAGCTGGAGCCCAAAAACAAAGCCTTCCAGGATCTGCTTAGACAGCTGGGAGCACAGATCCAGCAAAAGGTGATGTTAGGCTGATGTGGTCCACGGAGCATCATCTTGTAATTGTTTTTGCTAATTTTGATCTTTTGTTACTCTTCAGTCAGCACAGCTAAACTCCACAGATGCTCGTGTGCAGCAAATGTTCTCTCTCCTCTTGGATGCTTCTGCTAAAGACGCCGATCGACAGAAGGTACAGATGGTTTAGACGCCCAAACAAATCTCTCTCACTCTTTATCTAGTTGATTCTTTATGTATCTGTAAAACTTTATTTCACTAAAATATTTCAATACTTGAAACGTTTTCAGGCAGCTCAGAATCTGGTGGTATTGTCTCGAGACGAGGGAGGAGCTGAGCAGATTTTCCGCAATGATGGAGTAAAGCTAATTCAGAAACTTCTTCAGTTGAAGCAGGAGGATGTTGTCCTTTCTGCTCTCAGGACTTTAGTTGGTTTGTGCACAGGGCATCAGTCAAGAGTAAGTGTGATCATTCTCCCTCAAACTGTTAATTTTGTCACCTTTCCAGTCACTGGATTACTGTTACCCTCTAACTTTTTGGTTTTTAAGTGTCACGTTTATTTCTTATTAAATCAACTTTAAAGTATGTCCAAATGCTGGTGTTTGTTGATACCAGTATTAATTTAGTGATAATTCACATATTCATATATTTGTAAAGATTACAGTTTACACATATTTCCAAAACTTATAACTTTTAAAGTTTGCCAACATCTTCTCTTTTTTTCAAGACTATGGCTATAGTGAATGAGCTGGGAATGGACCAGCTGTGTGCAGTAATGGGGTCAGGGGTTTCCACTGTGTCTCTGGCTGCCTGCCACCTGCTGCAGGTGATGTTTGAAGCTCTGACAGAGGGAATGAAAAAAGAGATCAGGGGGAAGGATGAAGCCATACTCCCTGGTGAGTTTGATCAGCATTCGTCTTCATATTTGGAGTAGAAAACACTCCAAAAGTTGGCCTGAAACCCAAGCTTTTTGAGTGCGTCAGCCTTCGGTTCTGCTGTAACCCTTTCTCTAAATTTTACTCAGAACCATCTAAGGAACTGCGTTCAATGCTGCGCCACCTTTTGGAAATGTTGCCAGCATCTAGTGTGTCGGGGCCGGGCAGAGACAGCGCCATCAACCTCCTGGTCAAACAAGTACCCCGCAAGTCTTTGAAAAACCCCGACAACTCCCTTACATTACTGGTGATAGACCAGGGTATGAAAAACACCTGCATGCATTATCTTTCAAATATATGTACCAGTACTTTGTAATCTTGATTTTTTTTTAAAGTGTTATGTTTTCATGCCTGCTTTCAATCAGTTAATGGTTTTATATGGCAACTTTGTAACCAGTTTTAATGTCATGCAGGGCTAAATAAAATTCTGCAAGTGGCTGGGACCATCCCTGAGCTTACAGAGGGGCCACCTCTTACAGACAACACACACATGACCTGCTCTGTGCTGCTTAGCAAACTCTACGATGACCTCAACAATGACAAAGAGCGGGAGAACTTTGGCAAACTATCTGAAGAATACGTTCAGTGAGTTGACTGATGCATCAGTTTTTGCTTACTGCCTTGGTAACCTTTTTGATAAAGGCTTTAAGACTAAAACATGCTCTCTAATCTGTGATTTGGATAGGCAACACTTTAGCCGGCCCGGCCTAGAAGGCAAGCTGCGTGCCATCCAGACAGTGTCTGTGCTCCTTCAAGGTCCAAGCGACGTGGGCAACAGAGCTCTAGAAATGTCAGGAATGATGGACGCTGTGATCTCTCTCTGTGCTTCTGAAGATGCACGTCACCAGCAGATAGCGGTTGAGGCTCTTATCCACGCTGCAGGCAAAGCCAAGAGAGCTTCTTTCATCACAGCCAATGGCGTGGCCCTTCTCAAGGACCTCTACAAGAAGAGCGAGAATGACCAGATACGAGTGAGAGCCCTTGTGGTAAGTGTTGCAGTCCAGACAGCGCATGAGAATAACATCTCTGATTAAAGATGAAGCTCATGGTTTGTGTGGGTCGTTGCACAGGGTTTGTGCAAGCTCGGATCAGCAGGAGGGACAGATTTCAGCATGAAGCAGTTTGCAGAGGGATCCACGCTCAAGCTGGCCAAGCAATGCAGGAAGTATGTTTCTGTTTGCTAAATATTGTTTCTGGAATAAATTAGGAGAAATGTGTTACATCTGATCCTAATTTTTACTCTTCTTTATCAAACACATTTAAGAAGTGACTTTTTTTTTTTAGGGGTTGAATAAAAGATGTAAGCGTTATATCTTTTCTGTTAGGTGGCTGTGTAATGAGTCTTTGCCTGCAACCTCCCGCCGCTGGTCAGTGGAAGGTCTCGCCTACCTCACTTTTGACGCTGATGTGAAGGAAGACTTGGTGGAAGACAAAAATGCTCTTCTGGCCATGTTTGAACTAGCAAAGGTTTAACTGATTATTTTATTTGTGTTTGTTTTAATGTTTAACACGCAAGTAGAAACAAAAATAATAATAAAGCCTGATTATGCCATCCACTTTAAATGTGCGTCATTGAAAGGTGTCACCAACATTTACGCTTTATATTTTTGTTGTGCTTCTTTCTTTACGTGTATTCGTGCAGTCTGAAGATAAGACTGTGCTTTTCGCCGTGGGTTCTACGTTAGTGAATTGCACCAACAGCTACGATGTGGAGAAACCAGACCCTCAGATGTTGGAGCTGGCCAAGTATGCAAAGCAACATGTTCCCGAGGAGCATCCCAAGGTGCTGCTTAAGTCCTCCTTTGTTCATTAACAGACATGTTTACCTTCGATGAGGCTCGTTTGTTATATTACATCAATTTATTTTCATTTCTCAAGGTACCTTAGTGTTTTGTCTATTTTTCTTTAAAGAGTGTCTCTTTTGATTTGTTTATTTTCCTGCCTTTTTATATTAGGATGCACCTTCTTTTGTGGAAAAAAGGGTAGTTAAGCTGCTGGACGCTGGTGTAGTGTCTGCGTTAGTGTGCATGGTTAAACAGGAGAGTCCTGCCCTCACTGACGCTTGTAAGGAATGTATTGCCAGGTAAAAATAAGATTTTTTATTTTTAGCTGCATGTCTTTCTGTACATTTTGTAATAACTTTTGTCATGGCAGGGTCTTTTTGGCTTTGGTGGAACGGCAGGAAGACAGAGGCACAGTGGTGGCACAAGGTGGAGGAAAGGTACAACAAATACAAGCAGTTTAGCCTGCAAAATAAATGAAAATATTTTTGATTTAGGAGGGTAAAAATTGATGTCTATTGTCTTCAACAGGCTTTGATTCCTCTTGCAACTGACAACACAAATGTAGGAAAAGTAAAAGCTGCACAAGCCCTTGCAAAAATAGCCATCACGTCTAATCCAGAGATAGCCTTTCCAGGAGAGAGGGTAAAAATGCAAACAGTATTACAAAACACGGTAGTTGAAAATGTAAACTGATTCTTGGTATAACTTTATCCTACATTTTGTTGGCAGATCTATGAGGTTGTGCGCCCACTTGTGAACCTTTTGAGTCTAGAGTGCACCATGTTGCAGAACTTTGAGTCTCTGATGGCTCTCACCAACCTGTCCGGCATCAGTGAAAGACTCAGGTTGGCCACTAGGGGGCAGTCTCCCCTTGTTAATACACAGTTGTTTTCATAGACACATTATAAGAATGTCATTTAGAAATTATTATTCAAAACATTTAAAACAAGTCACTAAACTTACTGTTTAGTTCTACTGGAGTTATAGTTGAAAAGATTTGTTACATAATTTAATTCATTTTTAATTGTGTTTTCTTCTCACAGACAAAAGATCATCAAGGAAAAAGCTCTACCAAAAATTGAAGGCTACATGTTTGAGGAGCATGATCTCGTCCGAGCGTCTGCTACAGAGTGCATGTGTAATTTAGTTTGGAGTACAGAGGTAACGTTCTTATTTTTCACAGCAAAATGTATCATGCAAATGTGAAAACAGGGTGAACTTACAGCAGCGTGCCGTGTTCTCAGGTGCAGAACTTGTACCTGGCCACAGGCAATGATCGGCTGAAGCTGCTTGTGCTTTACAGCGGCGAAGATGACGAAAGGCTTCGGAAAGCTGCTGCAGGAACTCTGGCCATGCTAACAGCTGAACAGCCTGAGCTCTGCGCCCGCATCCCTGGAACTGTAAGAAAACTGTTCTTTTAACTTTAACCAACACTGGATATGATATGTTCTGTGCATGACTTCTGTGGTTGTTCTTTGTAGACGACCCATTGGCTAGAGATCATGCAGGCTCTTCTGCTCAGTGAAATATCCGACCTACGTCATCGTGGAGTGGTCGTTGTTAAAAACATGATGGAGGCCGAGAAAAGTTTGGCTGAAACTCTCATGGAGAGCGAAGTCCTGGAGATACTTTCTGTCCTGGCAAAGGGAGGAGAAGGCAACCCAGATCCTGTGTCCAAGATCGCTCAGAACTGTTTGGATAAAGCAGTGGAGTACGGCATCATTCAGAGCAGGGAGGAGAAGGAGGAGAGCAAATGAAATGTGCAGTGTGTGGATGTGCCTCTTAGTGCTTTGAGAATTATGAAACCTGAATACATTGTTTTTGACAAGATTTTTTTTTCCAATAAAACTATAAAAGGTAATAACAAAATTAAGTCATATTATGATGACCAAAAGACAATGTTTAGTCACAAAGCTTTAAAGGAGGCACATCATGCCCTGTTCTCTCAATTTGACACGGTTTCTTCAGGTCTTAATATTTTTATTTTAAGTGCATTGGTCAGAAAACGGTACCAAAACACTTTGATCTAACTTTTTTTAATTGCAGCTTATTTTAAGAACATATTAAAAGATATTACTTTACAATCTTTCCCTTTTTTAAGATGGCTATAGACACAAATCAATGCAACCGTAATATTTAAAGAAAGCCTTTCACATTCAGTCGGACACTGCAAATAGAAAATAAACGGTTTGCTTTCACGTGCTTGCACCCTCATCTAAAATTTGGTCATGGATAGTTGGTAATAATCCAGAGTTTAGGCAGAATCTTGACACAAGTCATGCCTAGCTAACTCGTGTTGACAAAACTGGATTGCAGACAAAAACATTGAGAAATGAGCAGCCGACAGACTGGTTAACACTGGTTTTCATGGTTCAGTCTCATGTTAGATTTAAAAACTCCCAGGTTTTGCTATGGACTCATAAGAGTGAGGTTAGGAACTGTCGCCTATAAAAGCTAAGTTTTGATTGATTTTTAATCGATATACTGGCTTACAATATTATTTTAACTATGGATTTTTTTTAAGAACCTCAATCCATTTAATTGCTCTAATCATGAAATAAGTTCTTTTCACTTCTAGTTAATCCAAAAACCAAAACATTTCGAACAACTTTAAAACATATGAGGCTTAAAATTATTTTTACTTCCATTTATCTCTTTTCACTGCTGTCACATTGTATTTTTATACTTTTTTCAAATATGTATATTTTTCTTGTCGCTCAATGGACCGTTCCAGACTTTTTTCTTTTTACAAAATAAGACTTCTACTTAATTGTTTACTTTTTATTTTATTTATACAAAACTTAATTTTATACACTTCTATTTCAATGTTTTGCTGTGTTATGCTCTCAGTAATGAAGATAAATGTGCACCTTTTGTATCATCGTTTATTATAATCACCGTTACAGCCTCATCACTACATTCCGTGAACGTTGACTGTGGTTTGCCGTTGCATTAAGATGAACACTTGGAATGAAAATAAAGTTTTGTACTGGACTTGGTCTCATCTCTCAGCTGCAGATTGAAAGGGTAGCCACTATAAAATATTTTGCCACCCTCGTGTTTGATAGGCTTTTTTTTCTTTTTTTTTTTTTGCATTGCTGGAAGTTGGTAAAATCTTAAAAAATAAACTCTGTTCTATATGTCACTAGTTTAGAGTTCATCCATCTATTACCTTTTACCCGCTTTTTCATTTTCAGGTCATGAGGGTCACTGGTGCCCATATTCAGCAGTTGCTGTAGGAGAGGCATATTATATATATATATATATATATATATATATATATATATATATATATATATATATATATATAT